CTACATGATAGTATTCATGAAGAGTTTTTTTTTAATGGGCTAGCAGATAGCGTGGAAGAGTTTTTTCTTTTACTTTGATGGGCTAGCAGATGGTGTGGAGCATGAGGGAGAGGAGGGTTATTTAATAAGAGACGGGTATTATGAAATGGGAATTAGAATGGTTGAAGACGATTATGGAATTTAATATATTATTAAAAAAAAAAAAACTTGATAGTGGTGCATATGTTAAGAATTCGAATAGTTGTGATGTTGTATGTATGTGGCATCATCAAAATATATAAAATTACATTGATATTAGTTCTAATGATATTTTTACAGTACACATGTATATAGGAGAATATTTTGTTGGGTATCTACTCAAACTCTAAGTTGGGATAGAGTTTTTAATTCTTTGTATAACTTCATGAGAATTAGATAAGGTTAGAGATCTATCATGATTAGGAGTTTGGGTTCCATCATGATTGGGAGTTTGAATCTTATTCTAATTAGGAAGTTAGATTAGAGATAGGGTTTTGGTTTCTCTATATATATCCTTCTATTGTTAGAAGAAAAAAAAGAGAAGAAAAAAAAGTGTAGAGAGAGAGAGGGTTTGGTAGTATTTATCCGTGCAAAAGATTGTAATTTGGAGGTGATAGTGGATTGATTTTGATCCCGTGGTTTTTCTCTGTTGAACGTTTTCCACGTTAAATCTTGTGTGATTTTATTTGTTGCGTTTAGTGGTTTTTTGGGGGTTTTTTACGAGATCTAAAAATCCCTACAAGTGGTATCAGAGCGGGGTTCGACGGTTAGTGGAGATTCGAGATTTGCAACGACATTGGTGGCAACGGGCTGTAGCAACAGCACTGTTCACTGAGGGTACTTCAGCGGAGGAACTGTTCACGGTGACATACTGGTCACGATACTGTAGCGGCGGTACTGTAGTGAAGACAGATCCGACGGTTGAGGTCGATTTGTCTTTTGATCGAGAATTTGGAGGCAGATTTTGGTGATCCAGGAGTCGTTCCTATGGTTTCTCGACGTGTTGAGTTTGTTTTTGGCATCGGTTTCATCAAATTCAAACTCTACGGTGACTAATTTGAATTTTGATCATGGTTAGAGGATGATGACTTCTTTGGGTCCGAAGTTTGATATTCCGCTATTTAACGACAAGACAAATCTGATGGTAGATAAGGAGCAGGAGTTGGTTGGTGTGTATACTTGAGGAGGACAAGACAAATCTGATGGTAGATAAGGAGCAGGAGTTGGTTGGTGTGTATACTTGAGGAGGACAGTGCCAGATTAGGTGGAGCTTAGGAGCAGGAGTTGGTTGGTGTGTATACTTGAGGAGGACAGTGCCAGATTAGGTGGAGCTTGCAAGCGAGACGATAGCGAAAATGAGTGTTATTATTGCAGAGAGAATGGTCACATTCAGTTCAGATGTTCCCAGATGCATGATGATTTGAAGAGTATTAGACAGATGAAGCTTCAAGAAAATGGGAAGAAGACGGACTCCTCAGTGGTTGTGTGTGATGAAGATGTGATTTTATTGATGCAGAGTACAAGTACTGATGCGAGTAACACTTGGGTGTTAGATTCTGCAGCCTCTATGCACGTTTGCAACAACAAAAATTATTTTAACACATTAAAGACAGATGAAGAATTTAACGACGTGATTGTTGGAAACAACGAGAAGATGAAGGTTGAAGGTGTTGGAAGTGTTCGCCTCAAGCTTCACACTAGGAAGGTCAGAATTCTTCATCATATGAGATATGTGCCGACATGTGGTGCTAATTTAATTTCGCTAGGTGAGATGGCATCACGTGGGTACAAAGTATGTGGGTGAAGGAGAGTGGTGCAATGTGTATAGAGATGATGATTTGATTTTGCGAGGGAGGAAGCAATCATATTTGCTATTTAGATGGGGGATCTGTTAATGGTGCATATTACTCTTCTCAGACTCTTGTCCACAAGGGAGATGTGAAGAACAAGAAAAAGAGAGTGAGTTTTTCTGAAGTCGTTGAGACACTTAGAGATTTTTCGTCGAGGGAGGATACATTGGGTATCTACTCAAACTCCAAGTTAGGATAGAGTTTTTAATTCTTTGTATAACTTCATGAGAATTAGATAAAGTTAGAAATCTATCATGATTAGGAGTTTGGGTTCCATCACGATTGGGAGTTTGAATCTTATTCTAATTAGGAAGTTAGACTAGAGATAGGGTTTTGGTTTCTCTATATATATTCTTCTATTGTTAGAAGAAGAAAAAAAGAGAAGAAAAAGAAGTGTAGAGAGAGAGGGTTTGACAGTCTTTATCTGTGCAAAAGATTGTAATTTAGAGGTGATAGTGGATTGATTTTGATCCCGTGGTTTTTCCTTGTTGAGGGTTTTTTACGTTAAATCTTGTGTGATTTTATTTGCTGCGTTTGGTGGTTTTTTGGGGGCTTTTACGAGATCTAAAAATCCCTACAATTTTTTGGAAGAAATGTTTTAACATGCCACACACTTCTTAAATGGCTAAATTACCATATTGGTATTTTTTTTCTTGTCGCACTTTGCTACTTTGCCATTTTTCGTTATTCCGACATCATTTGATATTTATTCTTAGCCCTAAGGTCAAGTAGGTCAAGTTTGGAATTAATCTACACTATTATAATGTAGACCCCCCAAATCATTAAAATTATTGGCTAAATTCCTTTTAGGCTAAATACCCATATTGGTATTTTAATTACACCCCATTTACCAAGAAGATATTTTAATTAGGCAAACCTGCTTTAAGGCATTTTAATTGATTCAACTTACCAACAAGGCCCTTTTCTTGTCGGCGACCAGTTTTTTGGCGAGAGCTCGTCATGTGCGTGGCGTGTGATGACTTAAACTATTTTTTAGCTGCTGATGTGGCACGGATTTTCTGACGTGACAGTGTTTAAAGGCGGGAATTAACCCTCTAAAAATCCCAATTCACCCAAAATAGGACAGATTCGCCCAACTGTTTTATCCACGTCAAAAAATTCGTACCACATCATCAGCTAAAAACAGTTGAAGTCATCATGTGCTACACATACGATGAGCTCTCGCTGAAAAGCTAGTCGCCGATGAGAAAAATGGCCTTGTTGGTAAGTTGAATCAATTAAAATGCCTTAAAGCAGGTTTGCCTAATTAAAATACTTTTTTGGTAAATGGGGTGGAATTAAAATATCAATATGGGTATTTAGTCATTCCTTTTAACTTGCCTAGATTGATTTAGCCATAGAGAATGACGGAGGGAATCGAGTAGAATCCATGAGCTGTGATTGTTGGTGTTGGAATCACTGGTGGAAAGCAAAATTACACAAATTAAAGGGAGAAGGTAGAAGAAAAGAAATGAGGAACTTCGAAGAAGAAAAAGTAGAAAAAAGGTTGTCAGTAGCAAGTGTGGTTCTCAGTAATACACCAATTCATTGTGAGGGAACAACATCCTTAAAATTTCTGTTTCTATCGTTGAGTAAGGGAAATGGGCTCGGGTCTAAAAGGGCTGGCGGCAGAGTCAGAGAGGGAGGGGCCGATAGTAGAGTCATAGAGAGGGTTGAAAGTGAAGGCACAAGATGGAGTTTAGACACTTAAATGGGATAATGAGGGGACTAATATCAAAATACTAAAGTTTTGAGGGAATTTTTTAAAAATGTTTTAGCCGACGCCAATTTTTGGAAGGGAAATGTCAAAAGGACCCCAAATATGGGACAGGGGGAGGGGACAGGTGAGGTGTCCCCTCCCCACTGTTCACCTGTCCCCTCCTCACTGCATGATACACTGTTCACACCTCCCCACTGCATGATACAATTGTTCATGAACATTATATCATGCAATGGGGAGGGGACACATCACTTGTCCCCTCCCCCTGTCTCATATTTGGGGTACCCCTAACACTATTCTTTTTGGAATAATTTGACCATTGGGCCAAGAAAAAAAAAATCAAATTGACGCCGGAGTAATAAAAAAATACCAAAGTGATAAAGTGGATTAAAAAAAAAACTAATCTTGTAATTTTGAGCCCTTTTAGAATAGTATTAGATTAGATTAGATTCTTAAAAAAAAGACTAAACTCATAAATTGATAAAACTTAAAGATCTAGGGAATTCTATTTTCCACTCTAGCAAGTCAAAGCATGAAAGTTCTTTAGGGCCTGTTTGGTTCTTTTTGTAAACCACGTAAAAGCTGCTGTAGCTAGGAAACCAGTTGTGCATCTTGACCTGATAGTTACAGTAAAATCCATCTAAAACGGTTTATTTTGACGAGAATTAGTCAAAGGTAGCCGACTAATTTTTTTTATTGTCACATCAGTCTTCTATTTGCCTGACAAACTGAATAAAGACGTATACTGTAACCTAATGGCTATAGTAGCTTCCTAGCAAAAACAGCCCAACCAAACATGCCCTCAGCAAAATGCTCTTATTAGGGAAAGTTGGCTCGACAATTCAAAAGAAGAAATTTTCAAAATCGCCTCAAGCGAATTTTTTTAAAAGAAATAGACCCCATTTACTTTTAATTATAGAAATCGACTCACTTTGAGTTAATTACGGTATTAATTAGTCGGGTTGCTAACCCTGACTAATTAGTAGCCTAATTACAAGCGGGGTTAAGGAGCGAGAAATATTTGCGGCGGCTAATTAGACTACTAATTAGTCAGGGTTGGTAACCCCAACTAATTAGTACCTTAATTAACTTAAAGTAAGTCGATTTCTATAATTAAAAGTGAACTAGTCGTGAACACCGTGCAAAGCACGACATATCATTTTTTCCTTGCTACAGTAATCCCGATTTTTAAAATGCTACAATAATGTTTTTAAAATTTGGTTGCTACAGTTCCCACCGTTGCTACGGATTTCTAAAAAGCTACAATATTCTCGTGTGCTACAGCAATATTTTTTCAAAGATGCTACAATATCCAATTTTCTGTTTACTATAACAAATGTTGTTATAGCATTTCCTGTAGGAGGGTTCTCCAATTTAATTTATATATATAGAGGAGTAGATGGGGTCGAATTCTCTAAAAAAAATTGCATTGACACGATTTTGAAAATTTCTTCCAATTCGAAAGCATCGCAGTTATAAAATTATTTTTGGTATTTCTGTAATTTTCGCGCTCTTTCTCACCCTTTCCCTCTCTTCGTCTCTCCGCCGCCGTCGTCAAAGATCGACAGATCATTCATGGCATCGACCTCAGATGGTGATCGGCCATGGCAATCTTATCACACCGTCTACACCAACGCCAAAGCAGGTAACTCTATCAAATTAAGGTTTTGTTTTCTGTTCTTTCCCCTCTTTCGCTAAAAAATTTCGGTAATTAGGGCTTGATTCGGGAAAGAAATTGATCAAAGATGGAATTTCTTGTGGATTTGTTTCAGGGATGGAAGGAGTTGATAAAGAGAGAGTGCAAAGGATCGTGTATGAGATGAGCAAAGGATCCAAGTATTTCGAGAGCGAAAAACGTAAGGAGGCGTTCATACAGCAAAAAGTTGAGAATTTGCGAGCTCAACGGGAAAAGCTTACAGATAAGGACATCGCCCATTTTCAAGAGGTAATCGCGCATGGGATTTACTTGAATATGAACTGTTAATTGAATTCTTTATTCCTTTAGCTTGTTACCGTGCGTAGTAGGAAATGAGTTGAACAAGAGTGCATTTTTTCCCTGCATTCCCTTGAGAAGTGTTTCCCAGGAATATGGTGGTGAAAACAAGTTCACCTTACAATAAGGTTTCCTATTCGCCAACCACAACAGTGAATACGAAGAGTAAAGGTGGATATGGTCATCTGCGGATATATCCTCATCTGTATCCCATTAGTATGCGTATGTGAATATTAATTGTCTATATTCAGTGAGATATGGATACGGATGTAGATATCTTTCTTATTTTTCAGAATACATTTAAAAAATATGGCTATAGATAAAATATCTACTGGCACATCTGGATGATACATGTATTGATCAGACATTTGACACTATTTGGACCTTAGATTAGTGTATTTGTTATCAATTTTGGTGATCCATAAATCTAAGCTCAGTTCTTTAAGATATGTCCAATATATCTATGAACCCGACTTGAGAAATTTTGTTTATTTAAATGGCTCTTGAATTACATGGCCTGTATATTTTTCTATCTTATCCATTTTCCTTATGCCTGCTTTGTATATATATATATATTTTCATCTTGTCTGATCCGTAAGTTCAATATTGAATGGATATGGCCTACTCACCAAACCTTCATACCCTTATCAGATTATCCTCCTAGTTGGCCTGTAAAAGTATCTTCCCATACTTTGCACCTATATGTACATTGAAGAAGGTGGACCCACCATTCTTTTCTATTCCCAGACACCATTATAGCACAATTTCTTCTAAGATATTCTCTTAAACTTATGTTTGTAAAGTGTTAGTTCTCTTCCATTTCTCTGTGAACTGTTTCTTTTAGAACTACGTCTAAATAACCCTTTACTAGGCTCTCAATAACATAACAGTTTTCGTGATTCAATTAATTCTACAAGAATTTCTTTGGTGATATTGGCAAATGTCTGGTGTTTAACGGTGACTTGTTGATAGTGTTGAACTGGAGCATGAGAACAAAGAATAGTGCGATCTTAAATAACTATGATGTCTGAAAATCCTCGGACGTACAATGTCGGATGGATCTGTAGCATTTTCTTTGAATGCTTGATGCTGTTACTTATGCTATATGGTGGTATTTAAGTAACTGGTAAAGTTGTTTGCATTAATTAACTACTGAGGAAATACAGTTAATTTTAATCCTTCTTTCAGAATTCATGTTCTTACATCACAAATCGTGTTGTTGCCTGTTTTACATTCTAGTTGCAATCGTTAAACTCAGACTTGTAAATTTTTTTTGGGAGATGTACCTTCATTTTCACAGACACACATACACACATGCGCATATGTTTATTCTGTAACTATTCTTCAGTATTAATTTTTTTTTTGACTTATAACAGCTTTTGCATCTATGTATGAGCATGTCTTGGGAAAGACTTTAATTGCGATGATCTCTGTTTTAGAGTTCTATGGCAGGTGATCCTAGCCTGTTACAGGCATAGGAAAATGTATCATTTCTAGCTTTTGTTGTCTTTCAGATTGCTGATAAAAAGATTGTAGAATTGGAAGCTTCCCGTGACCTTACAAAAGTGTGGCTGCATTCTGACATGGATGCTTTTTATGCTGCTGTTGAGACATTGGAGGATCCATCGTTGAAGGGTAAAGCTTTGGCAGTGGGAAGCTTGTCTATGATATGTACTGCTAGCTATGAGGTCCTCATATTTTCTTATTGATGCCTATTTAAGATGGGTTGAAGCAAGTAAAATGGGCTAAGACTTGTTTATGTATGTGAACGTTTCGTTTGAATGCATTACTTATTTACTTTACTGACACCACAGGCTTCTTGTTGTGTGATGTAGGCACGGAAGTTTGGGGTTCGCGCTGCAATGCCAGGTTTTATTGCGTGCAAGTTATGCCCAGATCTGGTATTTGTTCCTCCAAAATTTGAGAAGTATACTTACTACAGTGAACTGACCAGAAAAAGTAAGTTGTTCTGCTCTTGAAGAATCTCTCAGCTTTGAGCTAATTGGATAATGTATAATTCTTATGTTCACATTTCCTCAGTTTTTCAGAAATATGACCCAGACTTCATAGCAACTAGTTTGGACGAAGCATACCTCAATATTACTGATACTTGTGTTAAAAGAGGCATTAGTGGTGAAGAAGTATGTTTTACCATGATCTCACCTATTGATTAAGCTTCTTACCGATGGTCTAAGACCAGAATTATTAATACTTACCTGTATTTGGATTTAATAAGATGGATCCTGAATCACTAATGATTATTCTTTTCTATAAGGTTGCTGATGAACTTAGAAAGGCTATTTTCGAGGAGGCTGGTCTTACATGTAGTGCTGGAGTTGCACCTAACCGCATGCTTGCAAAGGTAATTGCCTTAGCTTTTTTATGCTATAATTCTGTGTAAAAAGAAGTGAAGATAGGATAAAATTTGACAACTTTAGCAACTTTTTGTTCAAGTTTGGTAAGGCACTGGCTTTCATTCCTAAGTAACTATATATAAAATATGTTATTAGGAGGCTAGATTTGCTAGAATACCACACACCAGATGGTTAAAAAATATATAGCCTCTATATGACTTATGTACATGAAGCACATTAACAGTTTCACCAATTGGACGAATATAATTCATATGCATTATATTACAAGGTCTCAAGTGCATTATTCGTTTCTTAGTTTGGAAGCGCGTAATAGAAGCTAAAATTCTGAAATGTTGGATCCTTACATCTTCATTCACATTTTTGCATTCATCAAGATGACATGAATGCATGCAACCTCTTTAGACATTTGAACCGAGTTTCTCATTCCTTGTTTGGAGGATTCTTGGAGGATTGGGTGAATTTGGATGGATTGGAAATGTTCTCGGTAGACTTGATTGTGGAACTTGAACTGTCTTATCTTCCAAGAAATGATTCTATGGCCCTTGTGAAATCTTTCTGTAAGAGTATCTGTACCTGAAAGTACTGGGAAATTTCCAACATTTAAGGTAGTCAGCTGCAATGAAATGCCTATACTCTATTGTTAATTAATTGTTCATCAAAACACCTGTAACAAATGTTTACTAAGCTAGCCCTAAGGACATGTCCTGTGACATATGCGGGGTGTATAATTTTTTTCCAAGCCCTTGCATGGAACCTGTTTTCTTAGATTTATGTTCAGTACTGGCAAATTTCCCAGCCTGAAGGACATGTCAATTTATTACCAGCAATTGACCAAATTGTTTGTATTTGCTGCAATGCCATTTGAAACCTGTTTTCTAAGATTTACATTCAGTTATTGCTATAATAATATGCAGGAAACTGTATTGTGTGTATTTTTTATGAAAGAATATTTTTTTATTAAATTTTTATGTGATAAGAATGTGCATTATGAGTGGCAAGCTACATTTGCGTACATGCATCTGCATGATTTCCTTTAAAAGATGGTCTAGGTCCTTGCGTTATCATTAGGAACTCTTTATTTGATGACTGTCAGAAAATATTTTCTCTGATTTTTTAGAGAGATGAGAAAAGTTTGTAGTATTGAAAATTTCCCTTTATTTTTGAGATCTGTTAACTTAATATTGCAAAAGCTAATATAATCATGTTTTTGTTTATATAGCCATACAATTTTCCCTGTGGCTGAACTTTACTGAGTTTACTCCTCATGTGTAACTAGGTTTGCTCTGATATTAACAAACCCAATGGGCAGTTTATATTAACAAATGACCGGAAGGCTGTCATGACCTTTATATCATCACTCCCAATACGAAAGGTATTCTGCTATCTTGTATTGAATTTAGCTGTATCTGCTATCTTTCTGCTCACTCTTTAAATTCTGAAGTTTATCTAAGACAAAAACATGATATTTAATGTTGCATGATTCTTTATCAAGTCATTATCCAATGCTCTATCTTGACAAAGATGAAAGAAAATATCTTTGGATTTCATACAGGTAGGGCATCTGAAGATACTCAGTTTCATTAAGAATACAGTTTCCTTCATGAGGACACAGTTGTTCCTGTAAGAAACAATCACAGGCTGTCTTCATGTTAACATCTCTTCTACATGAAAATATACATGTTAACATTCCTGATGTGGAAATGCAATCATTTGGTTTTTGAGTGTATATGACGTCTCGATATGAATACAATATCTTATCAAGTACACTTCTTTTTATACTCCTCCTAAAGTGCACGAGAATTTTGAGGGACTACTCTTGCTAACAGTTTTCTCTGCCAGTTGACATTTTGGGTACAATTTTCTGTAATAGTGTACCAAATCTTCATGGAGATTTCTTCATTTTGGAATTCCACTCATAGTGGATTCTTGTTTTGATGGAAATAGATAAAGAAGATGATGATAATGCATTGCGTGTCTTCTGAAAATCTGGATTACGGGGTGTATCTATGTTGATGCATCCAACACTTGATCTCAAAAGTGCAAAAGGAATGTCGTATCTCAGTATAAGATTGTAAACGAAGCTTATCATTTATGAATTATACGAGTTGATATTTGATATTAAAGTGGAGGCTTGATTATGTGATTGTACTTGATTATTACAATCTTCAATAAAAAAGGGATAGTATTTTTTGGTAACTTCTCATAAAAGTCAAGTAACCACGGGACACTTTCGTAGAGACATATGTATCAGGAAGAAGATATAAACAACACATGCCATTTTTTTTTTCTTCTCCTCTCTTTTTTTTTCAGAATTCTTATAGTAACTTATGACTTGACTCACTCTCTTTTGTTCTCAACTCTGATTGATCTGACCTATTTGTGCAAATCTTAAACTTTTATTTTCGTTTTGATGGATAACTAAGGAATCGTTTATTAAAAAAGAGAAGCCAGTATGAGCTGTTTCTCTCCTTTTTCCTCTTTTCATTTGATGGATAAATTTTGGATCTGCTTATTTCTTATGCACTGCTGAAGCAATCAGTTTGCGCACATCACTTCAAATGGATAGATTTTAGTCTCAACAGTAGCCTCATCTTGACCTTGCACAGCTTACCATTTTTGACTTGATACCCAACCAAATGAGTTAGCAAGCTTGTTAATTATACTCAATGATAGATGAAATGGACATGAGGGTTGTATTCTGTCACAGATACGATAATTTTCCAAATTCTACACAGGGAGAAAGAATATATGTATTTAAATGATATGGATATATTCTTTGGTTTTATCCATGTACGATAAAAAAGCACACGTTTGTATAGTGATCTATGAAACAATTGATAATTATCAAAACAAACATAACATCCTTCCTCTTATGCATATTTTAAGCTAAATATTAGTATATTACTCTACACATTTGTCAGGCCAGAGTTGGATGGACACGTGTGTCATGTTCGAGTCTATCTGATACACCAATTATTTGTTGGTAAAATTGTCTTGACAGTTTGGCATTGGCTTAAATGTAAAATTTCTTATAATACAATTGGTGAACAATCGCAAAGGATGAACACTTATTAATTAGGTGAGGTCAATGTGTAATGAAAAGATGGGTTCAAAGTTAACCCAGAAGCAGAATGACTGGTTCTATTTCTCTTGAAGATATAGTGTAGGGATATAATTAATTACCTGTCAAATCTGCATGAACTTTCGGACTTACTAAGTGGAGATTCGGTCAAGATTGAAAAGTGAAAACTTTGCTTTAAGTCCTAGGAGAAATATTTTATATGCTTGCTGGTGACAGTGGATGTATAGTGCAGTTGTTGGAGATGTAGAGTAGAAGTGCATGTAACTTTCTGTGTCACATGCACAATATTTGGGTACCATCCTAGTAAGGTGGGATTTACCTAGGTGTTAGTAAGGAGTGCAAGGTGGAGAAATCTGATTGGCTGAGAATAACCTGAAGTACTTGTATTAACTTTGGATGCCAGTCTTAAAAATATGGATGAGAAATATTGATGCACATAACTTCTAATCTGTATAAGGTGGTGCTATATTTTCCTGAGATTTCTAGAGGTTAATTTCATGTTATAGAGACATGATATACTATTTTCTATTTTCTATCTAACAGTGCATAAGTTGTGTAAATTATTAATGTTAGACTCACCTGATGTAGCCTAGATTTTATGTCACAAGGTATTAGTTTGCCGCACACATTCGCAGTGTTTCTTTAAGATATATTAAACAAGTTAACCTTCTTTAAAAAAAAAAAATAAGAACCTTCTGGTCTACACTTTTCTTGTCAAGGACCATAACTTCTTATTTGAAATTCCTTAAAAAGTTAGTGATGTGCAGTAATTTGTATATTCCTTAATTGCTGCATGTTTGGTTGAGTTTCATATACCAAGATTGGTCATATTGTAATTATCCAGATTCTTTTCTTGAATGTTAAGACTTAATGAGTCCACTTTTATTTATTTTTTATATTATTATTATTTTGCTTTGGCAACTTCCATAATAAAAGTTTATGTTATGTTTTTTTAGCTTGCCTTCCGTCTCAAATTTTACCACAACTTTTCGTTTTTATCCTTAAACAGTAGTCTTTTATGATTATAAAGTTTTCTTTTTCTTATTTTTTTATTGATGTATGTTTTAAGTTTAACTGTTTTTCTCATATTGCTGCTGTAGCAAGTTCTAAGTTAACCTACATATTTATCTGATAAAATTTTAATTCTACAAAAAAGTTTATCCTGTTTAGTCTAATATGTTTCTCCAAGATTTTGGATACAGGTTGGGGGTATCGGTAAGGTGACTGAACAAGTTCTTAGGGATGTACTTGGAATCAGTACTTGTGAGGACATGCTGCAAAAGGGTTCTTTGTTATGCGCATTGTTTTCTCCTTGTTCAACTGGTTCGTATACTACATTGTAGGTGCCAATTACTATATTATCTGAATTTTTAACATGAATGGATTTCTTCTGGAACTATTCGGTTATTAAGTTAAGAATAGCCAATTTACTGATTATATGATTTCACCTAATATAGTTATTTTAATCTTTTTGTCTAATGCTTTGAATTAATATGCACTTCAGTACCCTTACAAGCACTTGTGAGCTACTAGCCAACTTATTCTGATTTTTATAAGCCTTGAGGAATAATTGCAAATAGAAGAATTCAAAGTCTTTATAAAAATGAAAAGCATCTAAGGAGAGCCCTGTCCAGCTGCTATTTGCTAATATTCATTGGGGGTACTGGTGGAAATTATAATATACACTTGCATGCTCTGTAAGATTTCAAGTCTATTAAAGAAGCTAGCGTGCTCTATTCAAGAAAATATTTGCATGCAAAAAGTGATAAAGGCTCTTGGTAGTTTCTGATAGTTTAATTTATAAAGAATTGTTTGTTGTTCAGAGGAACCTTATCATACCTCATAACTGAATTGGATGTATTATCCAGTAGATAGCCACTGGTTTCAGAGCAACTACATTTGTCTTGTTAGCCTGTTTGTCAGAATTTCACTATTAAGGTTGTGTTAACGATGCAGTCACGCGAGTGATTAATGGCTTTCTTTCCTACCATTTATGCTTTCTTACGCAAGAACTTCTCTTTCTATATGATACATACGATCACGTGTCAAGACTTTTGGCACATTCTCATGACTAACATTTTTGTTGGTGTTTGACTGTTTTCTTTTCCCTAACAAAAACCAAAAAGAAATCAACAGGAAGTTGGTTTAGACAAATAACAGAGCTTACTTGTAGAACGGTCTTTTCCGGTCTCATATATGTATAGTTTCTTTGCATATTCACAAAGATTTTTTTAATACCATTGATCTTGTTTACACACACACACAATCAATTAACTGTACCACTTTTGCTTTATGGCCATCTAATGCAATTGCATTTTACTTGTTATAGATTTCTTTCTTTCAGTTGGACTTGGCTTGGGTGGAACTGAAACTCCCCGATGTAGGTCGCGGAAGAGTATAAGTAGTGAGCGAACATTTTCTGCAACTGGAGATGAATCATTTCTCTTCCAAAAATTGGGCAAGTAGAACAATTCTTTTTCCTCGAGTCTTTTCTTCTTTGATCAACTGAACTCGATTTTTTTCTTTTTCATTTTTAATGCTCGGAATGAAACATTAAAATTTTTGGTCAAGTGTGTTGGTCGTAACTTTGTACGACCTCAATGAAACTCATTCATTTTCTCCAATCTAATGTGTTTGTACCAATATGTCATGAATCTACATTCAAGCACATAAACAAATCTGCTTCACGTTCTCTCTCTAGCTCTTGCTCTTGCTTTCTATATGTTTAATGTTTATCAAGACATTCCTCGATAGAATATGGAAACGGTACATGACTGTAAGAGGTAAAATTAGATCAGATAGTGTTTTCAAAGGTGCACGACTCATTGTGCCTCATGCGCCCTGCATCGCAGGCTGGTGGCAAAGCGTCCTGCATGTGATGCAGCAACGCCTTTTGCACCTCACAAGCATCTTGACTTTTTGCAGGGTGCATGTAGTACATAGTCTCCTATATTGATGTTTGTTAACATTTCAATCGAGTCTTTACTTGATAACCCATATCATTGATAAATAGGAATAAGTGTTATCGAATTATTTCCTTCCATTCTTCCTAGTATGGAATGGAATAAGTAAAGAAAAAGTACCGCGTCTCGATCTATACGAAACAACACTGGTTTTTCTTTCAGTTTCATTGATAGCAGAAGAGTACGCTAGCTAGCAAGCGTTTCGTTTTCAGGCTCCGCTAGCCGCTATAAAGGGAAGAAGAACATCCTGCGCCTTCACCTGCGAAACGCTATGCTCTTGCTTACGAAAAAAGACTTTCCAAGCGAACTACTGAAGACAGACTACTGGGAGTGGGAATAAAGCTCCAGCCCTTAGCCCTGAATTAACCGCCCGATGGCCCACCTATGCTACTATCAAGCCCACTGCTAGCAAAATAAATCCATTAGGCCTTTTTAGTAACCTTCTATTGTAACTAATCCTTCTTTACTATTGGTTTTGCTTGGATATTAGTCTTGGTTTGACATTTGATTTGAAAAATTAGGAACTTTGCTACTATGTTTGATGTGTTAGCATTAGAATTAAGACCTTATATTGTAATTTGGTAGTAAGATATTATTTATCCTGGCACATTTTTTATGTGAATTCCTAAATATGTTCTTTCATGTTAGACTATGTATCTTGCAAAATTATGTGTGTTGTATGCATCTCACCTCGCATCACTTGGGCATGCACCTCACACTGCGCCTTGCGCATGTGTGCATGATACTCCTGCGCCCCGCATTGCGCCTCGCGCATTGACAACATTGAGATCAAAGTCACCTCCTGTTGCTATATTCGTATCAACATGACCAGTCAAGCCTGACTTTGTGGTTACATTATTGTAGTGAAAGGGGAAAAAATTGACATCATCAAGTGAAGGCGAGATTTGAGCATTAAATACAATATCTATTCCAGTAGCCTAGTTTAGTGAATTCAGAAAGCTCGTATCTGCTGTTCTTTGTCCCTAAAGCCTATTTGGTTTCTGAGTTAAGCAATGTTGATATGACCTTATGTATGAATATATGACCAAGCACGCCATGTATTTTCTGTCGTTCTATGCACATGTTTCAGATAATCAGTTATTTGAATTATATGTCTTTCTTCTGCACTCGGCCCGTTAAGACCGATTTAAAGGCCTCCTCCATCAAACTAGAAATCATCTATTTTTCACTTGTTATTTTGTTGAATTCTTTCTAAGTCTGTTCTTTAATTCAAATTTCTATATGAAATTATTGCTCTCCGTGGTTCAATTTCATTTGATGTAAGACACTTTTCTCCATATACAATTTTCTCACTTGGATTTTGTTTGGCTCCACAGCACAATCTTCTTTTCTTGTTTTTTCCTGTGTTATCTATTTCTTAATAAAGATCGTACATTTGTACTTTAGTGAAACTATCTATTTTTTCGCCTTGTTTTCTTCTTGCAGCTGATCTTGCAGAAAATTTATCCAAGGACATGCAAAAGGAAAGCCTGTGCGGACGAACCCTTACATTGAAATTGAAGACTGCTACCTTTGAGGTTTTTAAAGCTTTTATTTCATTTGTCATCCTTTTTTGACCCTTTTTGTCGGTATGTTGCTGTGTGTGGACTTCCTACTCTCTGAATTTATCATCTTACAAGCTCAACTACTGTTCAGGGTTTAGATGGTGAAAACTACATTTCATTTTTCTTCTATACAAAAAGGATTTATAAAGGCAAATGTAGATAGAGAGCTTTGATATTACTGGCATACCCATTGCAACTGTGCATACTACTGAAGTTGCTTTTGTTCTGTCTGTTGTGGCACATTGCTAATACATTATATCTTGTGCTAAATTTTTCTAGGTTCGAACTAGGGCTGTATCTCTGCAGAAATATATTCATTCTCAGGATGAGATTCTAAGTGCTGCTTCTAAGCTACTAAAGGCAGAACTTCCTCTTTCTTTGAGGTTAATTGGTATGCAGACTGTTCATATGTGTTCATATGTATTCTTACTAGTTGTCTGTTCATCTCTGTTGGTTCATATTACATTACTGTACTTCTCTTTCAAGCATGTCTCTTAACATGTAGATTGATAATGTTTTTCCTCGAGGCATAAGTTGAGACCCTCCTCGTCAAATAAAAATTGCTGTCAGAAGACAACAAGAACATCAAAGCCTTTATCCCAAGTTTTGGGGTTGGCTACATGACTCCTATTTTACCATTCAGTTCCTTTAAAGGTTATCTTCTCTGATAAGTTAGAAGGACCGCAGCATGAGGACTTCCAAGGAAGTCGCCCCTCCTGGTACTATTGTCTAAGCAAACTTTGACAATTTGCAAAAAGAAATGATTTTTCAGACTGATCGTCTTCTTGATCGCACGTTTAACATGTTTCAGAGTGGCTAAAGCTTATTCAGATGATTCTTTGCATGTGTAGTAAGAGTGATTGGTTTTGCTAGAGGCAGGAGAAGCTAGTCCAAAGTGGAGATGGTTACAAATAAAATAAAAAATTATGGTTACTGCTTATTTACTTGGAAGCATGTTCACATGTGTGACGTTGTATTTAGTGCAATAAGAGAAATAAGAGTTCCTGAATGCATGTTTTGACATGTTTGGAGTAATGGAGAATGGTTGGTGTTCACTTGTTAAAACTTTTTTTTTTCAGTTAGGTCTTTTTGGTCGAAGTACTAAATTATTAGTGCATAAGGTTTACACCAATAGGCGAATATTGCTAATGAGGTCACTGGTAAAGGAGTGCAAGGGATCATCCTAGGATGATGTTTTGGATACGTGCATTCTCTTGACCAAAACTGAATCAAATATTGATGTCGTTTCACTTGCTTTTAAAGGCATAGCTCATTTATGTTTCATATATTGTTCATACATAGTGTTTCCAAGGAACCTGGTTAATATTACCATAGCATGCAGTTTTTTGCTTCCTGCTTACTATTATTTTAGTGAATTAGTCCAGATCTTTTTTTTTCCTTTCTTTTTTTATTTGAAGTATTCTAGCCTTTTTTTCTAGTACTATGATGCATGGGAGTAAATCAATTGTGATATTAGTTGCCACCTTTCTTGGATTGCTTAGTATCACCTGTTCTATTTCTGGCATGGCTCCTGTTCTACTTAAGCGGGAGCAGGACGTCAGTCGTTTTAGTCTCAGAATGCCAACTATGCTGTTTGACTATTACTTTTTCTAGATGACATATTTATCATTCAATTATTACATACTAATTTAATGCATACAATTGCTTGTATTAATTGAATGAACAAATTAACCGTAACTCGAAAATTGAAATGTAATGATATTCTTGGGATCAGCTTTCGCGATAAGTTTCAATATAGTATGGTTTGCAGCAAAGTTTAAAACACTAAGTTCTAATGATAATTAACATATCTGATAGTAATTTAATGATAACTACTCTGCATCAATGACGTCCAATTAACTATAGCTTTGTATTTAATAGTATTTCTAGTGATCGACTTTGAGTTTTATTTTTAATCTGGTATTTTTTTGACGTATTGTTACTGTGTTTCAGAATGTAATATAGTTGCATTATTACTATAACAGGGCTGCGTATGTCACAATTCCGTGATGACAGTCACAGTCCTCTTGATCCCTCGCAGAAAACCCTCATGGGCTTTGTCATCTCAGGAGAAGATGCTACTCGAAGATTTGCAAATGTGGAGAACTCAACTGGCTCACTGATGAATGATAGGCATGTTATGCTTGAAGGGGAAAAGATTTGCAAATGTGGAGAACTCAACTGGCTCACTGATGAATGATAGGCATGTTATGCTTGAAGGGGAACTAAAATTTTCAACTGGTGATAGCAATTGTTTCTCAAATGATGGTTACTCCAATGTTCCATATGAACCTGATATAATGACTGAATCGAACCAGCTGATGCAACCTGCAAACAACTCGGGGACCAAAGAGTACGGAACATATAGTTTTGATGATGCCTGCCCAACAGAGGTATGTTAGCTTAGGTAGCCTTATTTTTTTCAGTATAATCTAACCCTGCCTCCTAAAGTTTACACGATCTTTAAACTAAAAAAAATTTACACGATATTTAGCATGCTAATATGGAGAGAGTTCTAATTAATTTTCAGAAGTGGAGCTCTTTTTAATGTCTTCTGTTATAAGTTTAGAGCTGCAATTTGGCCTTGCGATAATTCTCTAAAACTATTGCTGTATAGTTATATGTTCTGTTTCGAAATAGTCAATCAAGCTTCTCAGCTATTGGTATTAGGCTGCTTCCTCATTCTTAATTAAGATAACACAACATCTTAGTTGTTCTTTCACTGCATATTCTTCTCGATGCTGTTTTAGATTGCAATATTTATTCTATTCCCATGTGAAGAGTTCTAGCAGGATTGGTTTCTTGCAAAGCTCAATGGCTTAAAACCACTCTCCTGTGTTCTACTTCCAATCTAATATTGATCGTATATGCTGATTCTGTCAAAGCTAAAGAATATTTCTTCTCCAGTCCAGGACGACCACTATGGAGAAGTTCAAGAGAGGATCCAATTCTGCAGAGGACAAGGCAGTATTATCGTGCTGTCATAAACCATTGGTGTGGGTTGATGACTACATTTGTTCTGTGTGTGGGATTGAATTACCTCCGAGCTTCATTGCAGAAAGGCAGGAACACTTTGATTACCATCTAGCTCAAATGCTTCAGGAGGAGGAAACTGTGAACAATAGAAGTCAACTAGATCAGCGAGAGAGGTATCACATATTCCCCTTTTACTGTCATTATATGTGATACGTTACATAGTTAGGATGTATTTCGTCTAGAGTAGTGAAAGATGCAAGTGGATTTGAAACATCATATATAACACTCTTCAATCTGAGCGTAGCAGCAGCAACTCTATTATTTTTAACGCATTGTGTTTTTTCAACATCTAGCCAAACTGAGTATTGGACCGAATGTGACTTTATAAACTGCTCGGAATGAAACGCACCCTTGTATGTCTCTTTACGTTCAGGGTTATATAAACTTATGAACTATAACAAGGTTTCTTTCAGTCTTCGTTGTGAAACAATATGCAATGGCTTAATGTGAATTTTTTAAAAAGCTTTTCCGATAGCTAACTGTTTGTTGATCAGTTTCTCACAGAAGGGAAAGAAAAACGTGGACTCAAGGAAGAAACACAAGTCATCTCCCAAAGAAGATAAGCACATCCCTATTGATGCTTTCTTTATCAAGTCTAAGAAAAACATGTAACTTCACATTCTTTTCATGTATTTATATGTACTATACAGAATAGTAATAAGTTAATAACCATTCTATGTGTTGTTTTCTTTGAACATAGTATATACATGTAGCAATCACATAGGTACTTGTTTAAATATTAGAAAAACACTAGAGGCACACCTTCGAGCCATTCTCAGCCACACCCCCTCACCTGCTACAGTGCAGGGGTCCTACATGAGATTTTTTTTAAAAATCCCATGTGGGGCCCCCTGCACTGTAGCAGGTGAGGGGTGTGGCTGAGAGTGTGTTCGAGGGTGTGCCTCTAGTGCCTCCCTAAATATTAAAGCCTTGGCGACTAACTAAAATATGCGGAGGTTTAAAGATAAAGATGAAACAACTAAAGCACTGATTAAGAATCTGTCGGTGGCATGTGCAAAGAACATGACTAGAATTTGATGTAATGATGAAAGAATTAATAGAAAAATGACATCTAAGGACGAGAGTCTCTCTGCAGTACTTCATCAAGGACGCGCAGGTGCGGCTGATCTTTACGTTTCGTGATGCTTTATTAATTAACAAAAGCTGCGCAAGTGCACTCTTTGCAGTGGTTAGGATGAAGTACCAGATGCTCTAGCGTGACATTAATATTATTAAATTCTCAAAATAATTTTGATGCTCGTGCCCTAGAACGGGTTTTAGGATGGTATTAAAGCAGCACAGCTGAAAAGAATTATAAAGGGGAAAAAATTAGGTTAATGTCACGTAACAGTTCATGCTCAAATTTCATCGAACGCGCATGTAACCTAGTGGTCGAATATCTACTTCCTTGGTCTTAAAGTTGCGCAGCGCATTGGCTCATAATGAGTATAGGTAATCGGACTATTCACTGTCAAATTACATATACACTGCAGGAGAGAAAAGTGTGGAGTTATCTTTTTTTAAACTTTCATCAAAAATTGGCGCCAACATTTCATCATCAGTGACACGCAAAGCAGAAACTTAACCTAATATGCGCTTATAGACTGAGGATATCCATGGACCAGCTTACAAATGCATGAATCATTAAGCCCAATAATTTTTTCCATCACAAGCTCACAAAAATCAATCTAATTGTCGTACCTTGTAAAAGATGAACAATAGCATCCATCCGCAAATGGAAATGATCTTAAGATAACAAGGTCAAATTCAATGAAGCCCCCCGGAAGTTTAGGTAATCCGCACATGCTATTTCTGAAATTCGAAAGTTAGGGAAGCCCTTAAAGTCTGGGGGGGTTTCATAAAATTCCTATTGAGTTTTCAAAAAAGTTCTACTCGGAACTTCGGATCAAATGCTATTCTACAGTTTGACGGGAAAGAGAAGAGTTAGGTTTGAGTTTTCAAAATTCTTTGAAGGTTCTACCTCAACTTTGGGCCCCCATAGAAAGCTTCGGCCTAAAACAAATCAGGAGAGCTTTCCTAACATTTTTTTTTCTGCTGTAGGGTACTTGTATTTTTAAGGCATCGTCATTTATTCTCAGCTCATTTGTTTGTCTGTTGGACGCTGGTTTGACTCGGGTAACAGCGACGACCCATACGAAAGAAGAAGAAGAAGAAAAACCAAGGGTCTTTGACTCGGAATAGTACGCGCTTGCGTTGCGTGTGGCGAGGGACATAAAACGTTTAATTTTGTGATTATTTGCTCAAATAATGTTAGGGGCACACCCCCTAACACACCATCAACCACACCCCCTCTCTCATCGCTATTCACATGGGATTTTAAAATTTTTAAAATCCCATGTAGGGCCCGGTTTACTGTAGCGATAGGAGAGGGAGGTGTAGTTGGTGGTGTGGTAGGGGATGTGCCCCTAACACCACTCTATTTGCTCGTGCGTGGCTAAACACAAGAAGGCACCGCCCATTTCCCGATTCCTACTTAATTATTCTACCTACCTACCTGCCTGTCTTCGTGAGTGGAGAGGGTATCTATCAAAGTTAGTTCCGGACAATTCATGGTTGTCCTATAATTATAGTTTCTTTTTAATCCACCTTAATTTACATGGTAGAAATTGTAACAAAAAGTGTCTAATAAGTGCCATTTAAAATCTTACTGAATGGACTTTCTATATAAACCATGCTGGTCTTAGAATTATTTTTATAGTTAATTGGTTTATTTTAATTGACGATGTAACCGTTGCTGAGAAAAATAACCTTAAATTTGTCGCTCAGATATATGGATATTTGACAACTAAAGAAGAGTGTAGGGGGGAAAAATTTTGGTTTATTTTAATTAAAAATGTAACAGTTGTTGAGAAAAACAACCTTAAATTTGTCGTTCAGATATATGGATATATTTATTGTAGATGATAATTTTTTTGAATACATACCCCGTGTTTGGTTTGTTCCAAAATTAAGTTGGATTTGCATATTCGTTTATAAATTAAGTGCAATTTGTTTCAACTATTTGGAAACGTAGCATTAATTTCTAAAAAATTTAATTAACAGATGGACTAGCAACATTTTCAGTCTAAAGCTCTTATACAAAATGTGGGATTTATACGCTCTCGGGTGCAATAATTTTAATCCTTACCATCTATCTTAATTTCAATGGATTAGATCACATCACCTAATATTTTCGTTATCACAAATAATGGTTTGATTATAGTGGGGTTTCAAGTTTACTAGTGGTTTTCAAGATTAACATGCTTTTTAAAATAACAATGGAAACCTTGCATGCACAATCTCATCAATTACAAGTGAAATATAACGATAAAGATTTAGATAATTGGACCCTCCCTATGTGGAAACAGCGAAAACATTGGACAAGATCAGGAAATTTGATGCAGACAGGCATTTGGGTGCTTGTCGGTCGATCGCGAGCTTTGGCGCGATCGATCGCAAACGTGCACGACTATAGGGTGTTTTTTGATTTTCTGGTCGGTCGACCGCGGCGTCAAATGCGGTCGATCGTGGACCGTGTAATGCATTTTTTTGGTTTCTGCCGTTCTGTCCAGTCGACCGCGACGATTTCGGCGGGCGCGCCCCCCCGCCAGTCGAGTTTGGGCCTGATTGCGATTTCCTGTTCTGTTTGGGATTGTTGTTTGATATAAATAACAACCATGTTTTAGGGTTTCTTGGGAGCTGATGTGGGGATATTTTGGAGGGCAGAAAAGAGGTATTTTCTGGAGCTATTGGTTAGGATTTTGTTTGAGAGATTAAAAGCTTTGTTGGTGAGATTAATTAGTGAGTTTGAGTGATTTGTAATCTCAGATTGTACTCTTATTCTCTATTAGTGAAAACCCCATCCCCTTCTTGCCCCGTGGACGTAGAAAACTTGCCGAACCACGTAAAAATTGGTTATTTGTGTTTGTGTCGTTATTTTGCATTGTTTGGCTTTCTCTCTCGGCATTTGTGTTTGGTTCCTCGAAGCACAACAATTGGCTTCCGCGCGCAACAAGTGGTATCAGAGCTTTGGCTACGCTTGGGTTAGGTGGATGAGTAGATCGCTTTGGAAGCTCGTCTAGGGCTTCAGTTAGTGATAAATGTGAGATTTTTACTATTGTGGATCTTGTCTACCGCCGTGTGGTGGTAAGATTCTTCAGAGGCTCTTGTTAGGGTTTCAGTTGGAGATAAAAATCTTTCTTTTCAGTTTGGATCTATTCTTCGTTTGTTCCGCATTAGTTTGGTGGTGCTTTAAAAAATATGCCCGAGAAAGAAGGAGTTGTGGAGGGTACTTCCGGTGTGAAGACCGTCTAAAGTTTGAATATTCACTCTATGAAGATAGACGTGGAGAAGTTTAATGGCACAAATAATTTTGGTCTTTGGAGATGCAAAGTCTTGGATGCGCTCAACGCGCAAAATTTGGAGGATACTTTGGAGTTGGACGGGAAACCGGATGACATCGAGGAAAAGGTTTGGAAAAAGATGAATCGAACGACGTGTGGTGTGATTAGGTCTTGTCTTACCCAAGATCTAAAATATGATGTGATCAATGAGACTTCGGCTAAAAAAGATTTGGGAGATCCTAGAGAGCAAGTATTTGACCAAGAGTGTGGAAAATCGCTTACATTTGAAGAGGATGCTTTATCGCTTCCAATTGAAGAAAGCGACCTCTATTGATGATCACATGAACCACTACACGAAACTTCTTACGGATTTGGCGAATGTAGATGTGATGATTGAAGATGAGGATAAAGCGTTGTTATTCTTGTGTTCCTTGCCCGACGAGGAATATGAGACATTCGTTCTTACTCTTATTAATATGAAGGCATCTCTTTCGTATAGTGAGGTCACCGCTGCACTTGTGAATTATCAGCTTTGGAAGAAGGATAATGAGACTTCGATTGATACAGTAGCGGGGGCATTGGTCGCAAGAGGAAAGAGTCCAAACTGAAGTAGGAAGTCGCAGTCTAGAGGAGCACATCCTTCAGTTGGTAGGAATCAATGTGTCTTTTGTAAAGAAGATGGACATTAAAGCCGAATGCCTAAAGTTGACAGATCGAACCGGGAAGAATAAGGTGAAAGTTATTCAAGCTTCAGAGGTGAATATTGTCAAGACTAGTGGCGATAATTCAGATTTGGATTCTTCGGGCTATTCGTGCCCTGTACTACCGTCAGTTTTTGTTACCGACTCTACAGAGTAGATGTTGGATTCGGGTGCTTCTTACTACATTTGCTCTAGGAGGGATTGGTTCTCCAGCTTTCAGGAGTTGAAAAGAGGGGATGTCTGTTAGGTCTCATGTTATGAGCCTATATCTTCTAATCTTGTTTTGATGATTACAAATAATTCTTAATATTGTTTGTCTAGTATTTATGTTTTATTATTAGGTATTCTAGATAATCAATATGTTGGAGGTTGGATGGATTGAGCCTTCACGATCACATCAAATGAAGGTTGGCAGAATAGTGGAATGAAGCCATTGTACATCAAGTCATATTCAAGATCAAGCTTCATCCACAACCAAGTCAAGCATATTGAAGATCTATTAAGCTTGGGTAAATTAGTTTAAGGTTTATATAATGTGTGTTAATTCTATAAGCTCAAACATACACACACACATATATATATTTGTGATTTTCTCAAAACATAGGTGTTTTTATGCAAATTCTATGGTAATATGTTTTGGACTATATATACATCATAAACATCTTTTATTATGTCCATATAAATATTCCATAAGTTTTTAAAACTTGTTTTTGTTTTATTTTGGTCGACCGACTAGTCGACTGATGATCCATCAGTCGACTGATAAAGGTCGTCAGTCGACTGATGAGCTGGTAAATGCCTACAACGGTCAGCTCATCAGTCAACAGATGAAACCCATCAATCGACTGACGGCTCAACGACTAGTTTTTCCAGCCTTCTGTTTTTTTTGGATTTGTTTGGGTTTTGTGCCTTGGTTTTTCTTCCTATATAAACCCCTATTGTTCTCATCAGAATAAAGTTTTGAAAAGAGGGTTTAAAAAGGAGTTTAAAGAGTTTTAAAGTTTGTTTCTAAGTTTGAGTTTACAAAGAGGATGCTTGCATTTTTAATTGAGAAATTCATCCTCAATCTTCTTCAACCTCTTTGTGTTTATAGAGAAGTTTTTCTAACTCTTTTCTCTAGCAATTTTATTATTGATTTTCATATTCTTATTATTGCTAGTTTGCTAATTGAGTTAGATTTTATTTATACTCATTTTACCACACACACCCTAGTTGAGCTTGTAGCATTCATACATCATATATTGGGTTGTGTGTTTGTGATTTGTGAGATTGAGCTTACATTGAGTTCTCATCCAATTAGAGAACATTTTATTGTAATTGAGCTTTATTGTGAGTTACACGTTATATCACACTTGTACACCGAGAGGAGTGTGTGGTGAGAGACGGGGTTGTCCCAAGAGGAGTGACGTCGGTAGTAATGCCTAGAGGTAGGTCGTAATTCCGAGCACTTGAGAGAAACACAGGCTAGAGACCAACACTTAGAGGGTTTAGAGTGTGATTATAATTGTGTGTGTTGTAAAGTTTTTCGGTAAACTAGAAAACCAAATTGTGAGGTGTAAACGTTGTTCGGGTGATCGTAGAAAACCCGGTTGTGATAGTGGATTTCTCCCCGGGAGTGGGGAGCGGAGACGCAGGACGGAAGGTCCGAACTCCGTGATCATCCTTGTGTGTTAGAGTTTGCATTGGCGTATCATTTGCGTCTAGTGCTTAGTCTATTTTATTCGCCTTTGCTCATTGTTTATATTGCTCATTCTTGCTCATATCACATTGTATATCTATCTTACAAGAATAATTTGTTAACAAGTTTTAGTCGGCATTAATATCTAACAAGATTAGCAATAATCCTATTCACCCCCCTTCTAGGGTACTTTCAATATGTCGTGCTCATGGGTAATAATCATGAATGCCCTATTAGTGGTATCGGTACCGTTCGTATTAGGATGTATGACGAAGTGATTCAGGAGTTGGATGAAGTGAGGTTCGTTTCTCAGTTAAAGAAAAACATCATTTCACTTGGAGTTTTGGAAGCAACATGCTATAGGGTGACCTCAGAGGATACATCTCTGAAGGTTATATTTGGGTCCATGATTATGATGAAGGGCGTCAGGAGGAAGAATTTGTACAATTTGATTGGAAGCACGGTGATTGGTAGAGAGCCGACGACTTCTTTGGATTTGGCTAGACTACGACGTTTGTTGAGTCTGGGTTATTCGATTATAGGTGTCGTGTATGGATTGTTGAGGAGTGCTTTGACCTGCAGATTGAAGTCCTGTGAGCATATTGGTTTGAACAAGGAAACCGAAGTGGAGTTTAGCACTTCTATTCACCGGGCGAGGGGTCTTCTAGGTGGTGTTCATTTAGGTATTTGGGGGGCTTCCAAGGAGCCATCATTGAAGGTAATCTGTAATTGGTTTCCTATGTTGGGGACTGTTCTAGGTATTTGTGGGTTTCCACCAAGTCCCGTTGGTATGAAGTCCTAAAAGTCAATAACAAGTGGAGGAAGTGCATTAGCGGAACATGTAACACGACGTTCTATTTTTGGTAGGGATTCTTTTCTGCATTTGTGTCGAGCTCATGGCAGTTTGAGACACTTCATTGGAGAGGAAACATTGGGGGAAACGAGATGAGATGACAGTTTTGATGGGTCGTTCCTTACTAAGGAGGATCAACGTTTGATGTCAAGCATTGTTTTCGGTGTTCGGGCTTCGACATATTTGGGTCATCTTAGTCATAGGTTACCGATTGCTACGTTTAGAGATTTTGGATCTGGTGGAGCTACTCCAGATATTGGGTTGCTTCGGATGTTTGGTCGCCCAACATATGGTCACATCGAGGATCATATGGTCACATCGAGGATGTGAGATTTGATCTGAGTGCACATTTGGAATTCAGAGGCGTGTTTGATTATCAGGTATTGGCTTCTGATTTTGTTCTGAGCAGGTATGTCATATTTGACTCTCGGCAGGTGGAGAGTGTTGATCAGATCGTTGGGATATCGTATCGGGTGGAGGGTGATGCTACTCCACATTGGGTGGAGATTACTCCACGTACTCCAGATCATTCTGTATCATTTAAAATTCTAGCTGAGGTGACACAGATTGGGTATCATGTTGATGTGGATGCAGATGATGAGTTGGTTAATTCGAGTGCAGCTGGTGGACATAGTTTGGATTTGGATATGGTCGTTGGTTCATCTCAGGTGGATGTGTTTGGTTTGTTTCACTTTGGGGTCATTGGGAGAGCTATCAGCCGTAGATTTGTTGGTGAAGAGTTGAGAACTCTTCTATTGGATTGAGGGTCATTGGAGACCATTTGGGTGAACTATGTGAAGGCTTGATTCCTTGTGTAAGAGGATATGTAGGCAGTTATTTAAGATGTAGCCGGTTTGGTGAGTTGATACCGACATTTGGAGTTTGTTCGCATTCTCGTTTAGGTTCTCGACTTGTTGTGAATTGAGTCCGTTGTTATGAATTTGTTTCACTTCGTACTGGACGCAACAAGTGGGACATATGGTTTGGTTGGTGTCGGCTCAGTTTTGGAAAAACTTTGCTGAGGTGGAGAATTGTATAAACGACAAAAACATTGGAGAAGATCAGAAAATTTGATGCAGACATGCATTTGAGTGCTTGCCGGTCGACCGCGAGCTTTGGCGCGGTCAATCGCAAACGTGCACGACTACATGGTGTTTTTCGGTTTTCTCGCCGGTCGACCACGACGTCAAGTGTTGTCGACCGCGGACCTTGTAATGCATTTTTTGGTTTCTGTCGTTCTGTCCGGTCGACCATGACGATTTCGGCGGTCGACCACCAGTCGGGTTTAGGCTTGATTGCGGTTTCCTGTTTTGCTTGGGATTGCTGTTGATATAAATAGCAACCACATTTTAGGGTTTCTTGGGAGCTGTTGTGGGGATATTTGGAGCACAAAAAAGATGTATTTTCTGGAGCTATTGGTTAAGGTTTTGTTTGAGAGATTAAGAGTTTTGTTGTTGAAATTAATTGGTAAGTTTGAGTGGTTTGTAATCTTCTTCTCTATTAGTAAAAACTCCATCCCCTTCTTGCCCCGTGGACGTAGGAAACTTGCCGAACCACATAAAAATTGATTGTTTGTGTTTGTGCCGTTATTTTGCATTGTTTGGCTTTCTCTCTCGGCGTTTGTGTTTGGTTCCTCAAAACACAACAATTAGCTTCCGCGCACGCACAACACCCTATTTACAACATAATTGGAGAGGATCCAAAATTGTTTACCAAATTTCAACTATTTCGGTGCTAACAAAATACCGGTCCAGCTGAAAGCCAAACATTAGTCAGGTAAATGCGTTTAACGGTTTCCTTGCGCAAACACCAAATTCTTCAAGGGGCTTATTTGATAAAAAGAAGCAAAAGCAAGTACACTGATTGGGGCCGCGGTAGCCCTATCAGTCTGTCTCTTTGCTTCTCGCTGTCTTAAGTTGACCTCCCATTTACTCTCTACCCCCCCTCCCCCAAATAGAAGACCAAGAAACCTCCAGTCTCCTTCCTCTTTCTCTCTCAGTGACGCAAAACTTCACCAAATCTCTGCATTTTCTGCTTTCACCCCTCAAAATCTAAGAAATTACTCAAATCAATCAAGTCGTCTTTTGTAGAAACCGCGCCAGCTTTCATACAAAGCATTTGCTGCATCAGTTGCTAGGGTTTCTTCTGTTTTATAAGTTCAGATCTGCTGTTATTCTTTGTTGGGTGGGGTGATGGAGAGCTATCTGAAGGAGAATTTTGGGGGAGTGAAGGCCAAGAACTCGTCGGAGGAGGCTCTCCGCCGATGGCGGCTCCTCTGCTCCGTCGTTAAGAACCCGAAGCGTCGGTTTCGTTTCACTGCGAATCTCAGCAAGAGATCCGAGGCACAGATCATGAAAAGGACCAATCATGTACGGGATTTCTAGATAATTTGTAAAAATTTCTATTGTTTTTTGGTAGTAAATTACTTATAAGATCGTGTGATTTTGACAGGAGAAGCTGCGGATTGCTGTTTTGGTTTCAAAAGCTGCTCTTCAGTTCATAAATGGTGCTCTTTTTAATTTTATTTATTTATTTATTTTATTATGGTGTGTATGTGATGTGTTGCTGACGTGACACGCAAGGAAGAGTTCAGATTGTCACCGTAGAGCATGCCATGTTGGGAAGAAACAACAACACGCATTTATTATATTTCTACATAGGACATAACTGAGGTGTTTACACATATCTATGAAAATACAAAAGTGGAATATCTGTATTGAACTATTGATGATCAGGTTATCCATAAGTCACAAAATACAAGAAGATAAATAATCAAGCGATTTAGAAGTTTCTATCTTATTAATCAGTAACTTACACTAGTCGTGAAAATGCTAGAAATCATTTTTTTTTCTTCGGATTGTGCTATATGCGCATATGTGTGTGTGAGCGGGCATCCATGCGTGTGTGAATGTGGATCGTGCAAGCATGCTTACATGAACATATGTATGTTTGTACGTAGAATTGGATTATTCTTCTGATAATAGGAGAATGAATCTCTCTCTCTCATTTCTATAGCAGTCCGATCTAATATCTAGAAACAATTTACAACAAAATTAAAGTAAGATAGGAAGGAAAGGGTGATTTTGGCAAGTAAAAGTTAAAATTTCAATGAATCCAAGATTTAGTGCCAAATTAATCTTAGATTTTGTTTCCTTCTGGAAGAGAGAAAAAATGGAACCTGCCATTAATTCCTAGCTTCCGCAAATAAGTTAATTACAGAAACTATCTTTTTGTTAACAAAGTTGATTTATTTATACGTTTTTTCAATCTCCAGCCACCAAGAAAATCTTATAGCCATAAAAATAAGGGGTGAATTATCCAACTCGCAAACATACACGGATAATTTAACTTTTCATTTATTAATTCAACAATTTGTATGTTCAGGTATCCAAGTGCGCAGTGAATACACTCCGCCCGAACCAGTGAAGGAAGCAGGGTTCCTCATCTGCGCCGATGAACTGGGATCGATCGTAGAAGGCCACGACGTGAAGAAGCTGAAGGCCCATGGTGGCGTCAATGGCGTTGCGACCAAACTCTCGACGTCGGTTTCCGATGGTGTAGACATTAAACGTGACAGATTGAAATGTAGGGAAGAGATTTATGGAGTAAATAAGTTCACTGAGAGTAAAGTTCGGAGCTTTTGGGTGTTTGTATGGGAAGCATTGCAGGATATGACACTTATGATATTGGCAGTGTGTGCTTTTGTGTCTCTCCTTGTTGGTATTGCCACAGAAGGGTGGCCAAAAGGCGCCCATGATGGGTTGGGAATCGTTTCGAGCATTCTTTTGGTTGTGCTTGTCACAGCGATAAGTGATTATCGCCAGTCTTTGCAGTTTAAGGATTTGGATAAGGAGAAGAAGAAAATATCAGTCCAGGTTACCAGAAATGGGTTTAGACAGAAGATGTCGATATACGATCTTCTTCCAGGGGATATTGTCCATCTGGCAATTGGAGATCAAGTCCCTGCGGATGGATTGTTTGTTTCAGGGTTCTCTTTACTTATCAATGAATCGAGTCTAACAGGAGAGAGTGAGCCTGTTGCAGTAAATGCCGAGTACCCGTTTCTTCTGTCAGGAACAAAGGTCGAAGATGGGTATTGTAAAATGTTGGTAACAACTGTGGGCATGAGAACACAATGGGGTAAGCTGTTGGCAACACTTAGTGAAGGTGGAGATGATGAAACTCCGTTGCAGGTGAAACTGAACGGAGTTGCAACAATCATAGGAAAAATTGGTCTCTTCTTTGCGATTGTGACTTTTGCAGTGCTTGCTCAGGGACTTGTCACCAGAAAATATAAAGAGGGTCAGTACATGAGCTGGTCAGGGGATGATGCTTTGGAAATGCTCGAATATTTTGCAATTGCAGTTACTATAGTTGTTGTTGCTGTTCCTGAAGGACTCCCTTTGGCCGTGACTCTAAGTCTTGCTTTCGCCATGAAGAAAATGATGAACGATAAGGCACTTGTTCGCCACCTTGCAGCTTGTGAAACCATGGGTTCCGCCACAACCATTTGCAGTGACAAGACAGGAACCCTGACAACCAATCACATGACCGTTGTTAAAGCTTGTGTTTGTGGAAATATCGAGGAAGTAAGCGATTCCAATAAGGCTACTAGAATGTGTTCAAAGATTCCAGATATGGCAGTTAAAACTCTTCTACAGTCGATATTCAACAATACGGGAGGAGAAATTGTGATCAACCAAGAGGGGAAGCTCGAGATCTTGGGAACACCTACAGAGACTGCTTTGTTGGAATTTGGCTTGTCAATGGGTGGAGACTTTCAGGCTGTAAGGCAAGATGCTAAGCTTGTGAAGGTGGAACCTTTCAATTCTGCAAAGAAGAGAATGGGCGTGGTGATCCAACTACCTGAAGGAGGATATCGTGCACATTGTAAAGGCGCCTCAGAGATTGTTCTCGCTGCTTGTGACAAATTTATTGATTCTGCTGGCAATGTCGTTCCCCTTGATCATTTAGTAACTAAAAAACTCAATGATACAATTGAAAACTTTGCGAGTGAAGCCCTTCGTACTCTTTGCCTAGCTTATATGGATATTGAGAATAACTTCACAGCTGAGGAACAAATACCAGTCAAAGGATACACGTGTATTGGAATTGTGGGTATCAAAGATCCTGTCCGTCCTGGTGTGAAGGAGTCAGTTGCAATATGTAGGTCTGCAGGGATCACTGTGAGAATGGTTACAGGTGACAATATCAATACAGCAAAGGCAATTGCTCGTGAATGTGGTATTCTTACAGATGAAGGTGTTGCTATCGAAGGTCCAGAGTTTAGAGAGAAGAGCCTGGAAGAATTGATTGAATTAATTCCTAAAATACAGGTATATGAATCTCCTGTATGTTCTAACTCTGTAGATTTTACAACTAAACAATAAGGGTTCCCCATCAACTTGGTTACTGTTTACTAGGTAATGGCTAGATCTTCACCACTTGATAAGCATACCTTGGTTAAGCACTTGCGCACTACTCTTGATGAAGTTGTTGCTGTTACCGGTGATGGAACAAATGATGCTCCAGCACTTCATGAGGCAGATATCGGGCTTGCTATGGGCATCGCTGGTACAGAGGTAAATTTTGCTTGTGTGCACTAAATAATGTTAGAGAATCGAGTTTTAAAGTCAGTAAAAGAGAAGAAACCTATTGTTATGTTCTAAGTTGCATGGAAACGGGCACAGGTACTGGTACGGGTGCGGGTGCGGGTACAGGACACGGCAAAACTGTAAAATGTAGGGTACGGAGACACGACTACATATATATATTGAATTAATATTGTACATAAGATAATTTTTTCCCCTTCATGTGTCATTAGATTTAAAATTCCGATCACATTTTTGAGTTTCTTTTATCATATTGATGATCGTGAATTGTAAACTAATCATTTTTTTACTAGACATCTAAACGACCCATTAACTATATAGTTTTAAACTTGGGTATGGACTGAAACGAATCCGACCCGTATCTCATTAGTTTCAAAAGACGGATGTATGTGAAGTGTAAGCTCTACGTCCAGGAAGTCTTTGACAAGTGTTTTAAATTAACACATATATCGTATAATTGAGTACATGTTGTAATAAATGCATACATATATTCAAGAAGTGTCCATGAAGTTTGGGTACGGGAAAGTGTCGGGTACATGTCGGTACGGGTACGGCTTCATTATAGAAGTACCCGGGTAACATAGGTTATGTTGATAATGTAAATACTAGTTTCCGTGTACCTCATAAGATTGATTAATGTGACATAAGTTTTTCTTGCCTTGAGTTTTATTTATTTTTCTAGCTCAAATATCTGTACTTTTTTTTGCAAAGCATGGTTCATTTTTTGAGCTTACAATGCCTACTAATTCCAAAAGACAGTTTGAGATCACTTTAGTGTTTCCTAGTCAACTTATTTGTGTTCTTATTTTTTTTCCCGACTACTAATTCCCTTAATATGCCTATCTGCGAGCACTGGATGGATACCAAGACAAATTTTTCGATCTGCCTTCGCATCGGTATAGGATCTTAGCCATTATCATATCATATAGCTTGATATTACTGGCTTCATACAATGCTATTACTATATGTATTTAGCATGTCCTGATACAAAATTGCCTTTTTCTTCTTTACTATCCATTTCCCCACTTTCATAAAGATTGAATAGGTTTACTCCTCCACTTTAACAAAAACTCCATATTAAATGTTTCTAAACTTTCTAAGTTGAAATGGATCATAGCTCTTTGGGTAATGTAAGCCAAAGATGAATCTGAACTGCTAAGAAAAATTCTCTTCTAAGTGCAAAATACAAAACTTAAAAATCATTTTTAACAAGACTAGTAATAGAACATGGATTTTTTATTATTATAGCAAAACATGGAAATATATTTATTACTAAAAGATAAACAACTTTAGTGTCTTCCTTGTGTAACTTTACTACTTTTCAAGATTCTGTCAGCTTATAGATGGTCTTTCATATTAGCTCTTCATTATCGTGATATCTTTCTTTAATTGTACACCACATTCTGTAGGTGGCTAAGGAGAGTGCTGATGTCATAATTCTGGATGACAATTTTTCAACGATTGTAACTGTGGCTAAATGGGGCCGTTCAGTGTATGTCAACATACAAAAGTTTGTCCAGTTCCAGCTCACTGTTAACATTGTTGCGTTAATTGTTAATTTCTCCTCAGCCTGTCTGACAGGTAAATATATATTTTGAGTTCTCAATCATTGTTGCGTTAATTGTTAATTTCTCCTCAGCCTGTCTGACAGGTAAATATATATTTTGAGTTCTCAATATTATTAGATTGTGCACTTTGTCTCTTGAGAGCCTGTCTGACAGGTAAATATATATTTTGAGTTCTCAATATTATTAGATTGTGCACTTTGTCTCTTGAGCTATTCCTTTCTTCTTTGTGTTTTATGCTTCAGGAAATGCCCCCCTCACTGCTGTTCAACTTCTTTGGGTCAATATGATTATGGACACTCTGGGAGCACTTGCTCTGGCCACTGAACCACCAAACAATGACTTAATGAAGCGAATGCCGGTTGGGAGGAAAGGGAATTTTATAAGTAATGTAATGTGGAGGAATATCTTTGGACAGTCATTATATCAGTTTTTAGTTATGTGGTATCTCCAGACTCAAGGAAAAAGTATATTTGGGCTTGAGGAGCCTAGTGCTGATCTTACACTGAATACGCTTATATTCAATACATTCGTCTTCTGTCAGGTAATTTGAAGCCTCAGGGCTTTCTTCTAATAGGAGTTTAATTGTTTGGTTCTATTTATTATTGTTAGAGAAACAAGTAGTAGGAATATGTGTTTAAATGTGTATAAAAAATGAAGATACAAACATGCCATTGGTTAAATTTACATGTGATGCACATGCGATGACATTGAACTTTCAAATTTCTTATTGAATCCGAGCCTAGCTGATTCTTTGAGATTGTGTATGCAGGTCTTCAATGAAATTAGCTCTAGAGACATGGAGAAGATAGATGTTTTCAAAGGCATATTGCAGAATTATGTGTTTGTGGGTGTTCTTTCTTGCACTGTCATTTTTCAGATAATAATTGTCCAGTTCCTTGGTGAATTCGCAAGCACTACGCCATTGACATTGTTACAGTGGTTCATCTGTGTGTTTATTGGCTTTCTTGGCATGCCTATTGCTGCTGTTGTGAAGATGATTACCGTTGGATCTAATTGAAGAAGATTTAACGTAGGAGAGTAGAACTGATATTTATGAGATAAAAATCGAGCATTCAGTTCTCTACTTCAGTTTACTTTTCTGCTGTCATGAGTCAAAGCATGCGCAGCAATTGTTCACTGAATATGGTTGTATTTATGTATTTTCCTTTGATTATTTTCCACTTGTATTGGCTTGATTGGTTTTGTAATGTAGAAGTTTAGTCACTCACAACTAACAAGTTTGATGTAGAAAGCGTGTTGAGCTTTCAGTTTAACAGGAAGAAATTCGTCTGACAATGCCGTACTTTTTTCGATGGATTTGATTCTACGAGTGTTGTGGATTTCCTTAGCGTGAATTTATTGTGGGTCGAAGCTTGCATGATGAACATCTGCAGATTGTGCATCGTGTTATTTCATAATTGTATAAAGAGCCCTTGCTTCTGTTTCTGGACGGTTAATGCAAGTCTAAATCTAGATACTTCTGTGGCAGTTTGAAGGTGCTCTTTCAATTGATACCTCAGCCTTCTGCAACACAATTTGGTTATAAATAATAAATAGTAACATCTCAAGTTTATTATAATATGATCGATAACAGAGACTAGTATTCAGTTCAATGTGAGTTCATTAAATTGAAGATGAATAGGCAGGTAAAAAGACAAAGGACAACAGCACGTTTGATATACCTTTTACCAGCAGAATTTCCCTTTTGTCTTCTAAGCTCATCAATTTGCTTGTTCTGAGTATTCGGTAACAACACGTATACTTTCTTTAGGACCTTTTATGCTACTCCACAAGCTCCTAGTCGATGTTAAGTTTTGTAAAAATAACCTTTTCTCAAATTTTTTGCAAGTCCTTTGGCAACAAGGGATTCATTCTTCCAACTACAACTACAAAAATAACACAATTTCCATGAAATTAACAGTTCCAACTAGAACTACAGCCGTCTTGCAAAATAACCAATTCAATTCATTGTGAATTTATTAAAAAAACAGAACATGCAGCTATGCAAACCAAGGCAACTTGCACCTTGGATCTACTAGTCACAATTAAGTTGCTTGTTTAATACTTTATTTATAAAGCTCATACATACTTTCTTCAGTACCATTTGCTCAGATGTCAGTAATATATGCCAATAACAAAGGCCTGTGATATCTCATTGTATTCTCCATTAATTACCCTTCATTCAGGATCAATAGGAACTGTTCAAGAATCTCTCTGGCGCGTTATATAAGGCAATGCCTTCTATCCTCGTCGAGGTTAACACCCATCTTGCTCTCCTAATTGAACTACCAATTATTAAGACTCAACCAGAAATTAAAATAAACTAGAATTAAAACATCAAAGCCAAAACAGATTCTACCCGTGTAGAATTTAAAAGGGAAATCGAAAGGGTATCAGAAATGCTAGTAACTATCTCTATAACAAGCACAAGAGCTACGCATATCACAATATCGAAGCCATCACAATATATCCATAAGATCTTGTGCATCATCTGAGCATACAGATTGCAGACATACAGTTCAAACTGGCAATATAAGAGCGCATGCAACTAACACAAAAGAAACAAGTAGGCAACCATCTGGAACTAGTGAACAAAAGCGTTTTTCCAGTACAGGAAGAAAGTAGGTCTTCAGCAACAAGTCCTACAAACTGATCCCCAGCAACTCAACATTCGCGGTTGGCTTCAAACTTCCCTGCAGCGTGACACCGCAAACCATTGTTAACTCATGGGTCAACTAAATTATCAGCATCTAGGAATACTGATTATGTACAGTTTACAGTATTAGGAAATTTTATATTTAAAAAAAAAACTGTTCCATTAATCAGTCTAAAGACAAAATGAATCCAAGAAAGAGATTACTTACAACATGAAAAGAACAGCTCTATAGAACAGATAAGACAAATGAATCAAAATCAAAGGGGAAAAAATGCACACATCTAAAAGAATCATGTAACTTTTTAAACAAATATATGCATATTAGACCAGGGAAAAAAGTAGCGTGTGAAGTACTTCAAGTGGAACACTTCTAAATATAGGAGCTCCAAGTAGGTAATGTTGCTTAGCAATCCGACACCCAGGAAAAAAGAACTGTCCCAAAGCTTTACTTTCAATCAAAGAATATTGTTACTGATAACAAATTATTGGAAAGAATCAATTGCGACATTAGGACAAGCATTTCGCAGAGTAATTATATGCATACAAATCAGGAAAATTAACTCGTAGTCTAGTATATACAAGATTAATCTAATAGAACTTTTGAATTTTAAACCTGTTTATTACCATGTTTTTAGAATAATACATACTGGAGCAACACATACCAATAAATTTAACTTTTATAGATGCTTACCACACTAGACATCCTTCCTGTGCCGATGACAATAACTACATTTAACAAACAGTAAAATTCACAAAATTACCAGACTAACGGCACTCGTGTGGTGGACAAATTATAAAAAATGTTCAGACTGATTAGTAACACGATAAAGATGTTGAAAACATCCAAATCTTTGGTGTCATAAAACACTTAGTTTACATGCTAAAGCTAATATATTGCTCATGATAATCATAATTAACTGCTGCACATATGATTAGCACCTCTTTGAAGTGTTAGCCAATGAAAGCAGTGTATGTAATATGGGAACTAGACACTCGATACTAATTGATTCAGGCACTTGAAAAGAAAAAGATAAGTTCTTTCGTAATTATCACATTGGACCTCTTCAATATCTTGTAGACAGTACATCATATATGAGCATCGTTGCGTGATTCCCCAGATCCTCCTCGAACCGTCGTACAATTCCTGCAAATCGATTCCCTGTACATTTGCGAACCGATTCCTTCCGATACACGAACCGGTTCCTCAAAATTAGCGTACCACTTACAAGTATGCTAGATGCAAAGTCTCTTTAAGTACACATGCACAAGACACAATACAATGCGTGCAATTAAATGAAGGGAGACACACAATAGAGCGTATGAGCCAATACACATGCACAAGACACAATACAATGCGTGCAATTAAATGAAGGGAGACACACAATAGAGCGTATGAGCCAATAACTTTACTGTAACTAAACATATAAAAAAGGGTAGCCCAGTGCACAAGGTTCCCACCATTGTGGGCTCTGGGGAGGGTCTTACCCCCGTATGCGAAGAGGCTGTTTCCAGGATTTGAACCCATGACCTCCAAGTCACAAGGCAACAACTTTACCGTTGCACCAAGGCTCACCATCAACTAAACACATATGTTAATTAAATGTAAAATGAAACCATGATCCTAAAACGAGCTTTGTGAAAATAAAACAGTACAAAGAAATAAACTCTATCAAAAAAAGTATTTTAAGTATTTTGTATGAAAAAAAATATTAAAATTCATAATTAGCTTTCTAGTTTTCTACTATATACTTTGGAAAGCTTTAAGTGCACTATAAAAAAATTTACAACGTACCACTAACCGAGCTTGCGTACCGAAGCAAGCTACCCCCTAACATATCTAAAAAAGTTTAATTATGAATTTGCAAAGAATGAACCCAAACGTATCTGAGATTTTTGTTGATATAAGAAAACATATGGATGCCCTTGGAATTTTTTGCCTCTCCTGTTAAAAATAAAAAAGAATTTCTATCAAGAAATTTGTGAACGAATACAGTTGTGGACAACATAGTAACATGTCAGGTCAATCACGAGTATCTCACAAATTCATAGCAGCACAATTGCATTATGTGTTAAAAGTTTTGCCCGAAATCCACCTAATTGATGTGCAAAAGGAGTTTCTCACTCAGTATGGATTGGTGATTGATTATAGTGAGATATGGTGGGGTAAAGGGAGAGCACAAGAGGAGTTATATAGTGATTTTTATGAGTCTTACGATCAACTGGTAAAAGTTACAGATTTGTTATTAAATATATAAATTTTTATAGTAGACACTTAATGTACATTGTTAGATGTTAATTTACTCAGCAATATACTAACTTTTATGGCCATCCGAGCTACAGTGCTTAACAACTTAATGTACATTGGTTTCAACGTATCAACAATACAACCAGTGAATAAACCAGTTATATTGGTTTCAACGTAAGAACTATGGTCATCCGAGCGACAGTGCTTAACAACTTCCTCATCCAACTAAAGTTTGGCAAGATGCTGATGGTCCTAGCGCATGAGGGGGGCACAAATAGAATCTTCTTGCCCACGTCAATATACTTTTGTACAAATGAGTAATACATTTTTGCAAAATCAGGAGTTTTGCCATAAATACTATGTTGTATTTCGAACAAGATAATGTTATATCATTTATAAAATAGATGTGAAGAGGATCAGGGGTTTGATCCGGTGCTTACACTAAAGTGAGCTAATGCGACTCCATATTCCTTGTGCAAAGAGTTATTTTCTAGTTTCTCTAACCACTCACTTAATATATCTATCAATGCCTCCATGACCTACAAAATTAACATGCAAGAATGAAAGTTAACATAATACTATACAGATTGCTAAGTAGATATGAAAGTTAACAATAAACAATAAACTTATATGATCATTGAGACGACCTCCACGAAGCAAATATAGAAGCTCCAAACTATCAATACTACTATTAAAGTATTGACAGTAATACTCCTCCTAAAATATAATAGTGAAATATAGCATCAATATTTGTGGAGAATAATTAGAAACTACACTAAAATGTTGACAAATTCTTAAAAGAATTAACAAGTAAATAACAAAAGTTAGCAGTTATAAATAAAAGTTAACATGTACAAATGAACATTAACAGTTATAAACAAAAGTTAACACATAGTACCCAAAGTTTACAAGTTCCACGGAAACTTAACAATTATACACAAAAGTTAACATTTATAGATAAAACTTAACAGGTAATGTACAAGTAAACATAAAAGTTCATATGAAACTTACTAATGATATTTTTTATTGCAATAATTTGAGAGCCATCTGATCTCATCTTGTGTGAGGTTTGACGCTACATGATTAGGTATCCTTTAGTTATGCATGAAAGTTCATTCACTATCCACTAGGCATATGCTAAAATCTAAAACTTTATGAATACCCTCATTTAATACCTTTCGAAGAGCTTCCTGCTTCTTCTTTTTTTCCTATTCTTCAACAAATCCCACCTATATTTATCGAGTTTGTAGTAGTACTTGATTTCTTTTTCCTCATTATTTATTTGGTGTGGTATTTTATTTATCGCACTGTCAGTTCTTTCCTTTTTTCCTTCAATGAATGGAATTCGGACTAGTTGTGATCTCATTCTAATCCTGGTACTTGGTGCCCTTATCTCCAACTTTGAGACCACTTTTTTGTACCTCTTACCATACACTTTCATCTCCAGTCGG